CTTATGGACACATTGTTGGATTCTGATAGCTAAAATTTTATTGAGGATTTTTGCATCAGTGTTCATTAGGGAGATTGGCTTGTAGTTTTCCTTTTTTGTGTTGTCCTTGTTCGGTTTTGGTATTAGTGTAATGTTGGCTTCATAGAACGTGTTTGGTATTGTCCCTTCCTTCTCAATTTTTTGGAAGAGTTTGTGAAGGATGGGCACTAATTCATCTCTGAATGTTTGATAGAATTCATTTGTAAATCCATCAGGTCCTGGGCTTTTGTTTTTGGGGAGGTTTTTGATTACCATTTCAATTTCGCTAATTGTAATTGGTCTGTTTAGGTGTTCTATTTCTTCTTTATCTAGCTTTGGGTGATTGTAGAGTTGTAGGAATTTGTCCATCTCCTCTAGATTGTTGAACTTGTTTCCATATAAGTGTTCATAGTAGTTACTGATTATTCTTTTGATTTCTGCTGTGTCCGTTGTGATTTCTCCTCTTTCATTTATGATCCTGTTTATTTGTGCTTTCTCCCTTTTTTCCTTTGTGAGCCTGGCTAGGGGTTTGTCTATATTATTGATTTTTTCAAAGAACCAGCTCTTGGTTTCATTGATCTTTTGGATTGTTTTTTTAGTTTCAATTTCATTTATTTCTGCTTTGGTTTTTATTATTTCTTTTCTTCTACTGGTTTTGGGGTTTTTTTTGTTGTTCTTTTTCTAGATCTTTGAGCTTCGAGATTAAGTTGTTTCTTTGAGTTCTTTCTTGTTTCTTGATGTGAGCTTCTATTGCTATATATTTTCCTCTTATTACTGCTTTTGCTGCATCCCATACATTCAGGATATTGGTGTCCTCCTTGTCATTCAATTCAAAGAATTTTTTAATTTCTTCTTTGATCTCCTCATTAGTCCAGTGGTCTTCCAGTAGTGTGGTTTTTAATCTCCATGAGGTAGGAAAGTTCCTTGCCTTCTTTTTATGGTTTATTTCTAGTTTGATGCCTTCATGGTCAGAAAAGATGGTTGGTATGATTTCAATCTTGGTGTATCTGTTGATGTTTGTCTTGTGCCCCAGTATGTGATCAATCCTGGAGAATGATCCGTGTGCACTTGAGAAAAATGTGTATTCCATTTTTTGGGGGTTTAGTGTTCTATAGATGTCTGTTAAGCCCAAATGCTCTAGGTCCTTATTTAGAGCTCTAGTTTCTTTACTTATTTTTTGTCTTGTTGATCTATCCATTGTTGATAGTGGTGTGTTGAAGTCTCCCACTACGTATATGTTTTCTCTGATGTCTGTTTTCAGAGAGGACAACAGTTGTCTGATATATTTTGGTGCTCCTTTGTTTGGTGAGTATATGTTAATGAGTGTTATTTCTTCTTGAAGTATTGTCCCCTTGATCATAATGCAGTGATCATTGGGGTCTTTTTTTATTTTTTTGAGTTTGAAGTCTGTTTTATCTGATATAAGTACAGCTGTTCCTGCTTTCTTTTTTGGTCCATTTGCTTGTGGATTGTTTTCCATCCTTTAACTTTGAGCCTATTTTTATCTTTTGTAACTAAATGTGTTTCCTGGAGACAGCAAAAGGTTGGGTTTTGTTTCTTAATACAGGCTGCAACTCTGTGTCTTTTTATTGAAGAGTTTAGTCCATTTACATTTAGAGTTAATATTGATGTTAGCATCTGTATTTGCCATTGTGTTTGTCTTTCCTTTGATTTTATTTATTTATTCTTTTAATAACATTTTTTTTTTGGCCTTCTTTCGTTGTTATTCATCCCTCTGAGGTTCTGGCTTTAGGATTCCTTGTAGTATTTTTTGGAGTGGGGGTTTAGCCATTATGAAATTCCAGAGTTTCTGTTTGTCTGGGAAGGTCCTTATTCTTTCTTCATAGAGGAAGGAGAGCTTTGCGGGATAGAGTATTCTTGGTTGGCATCTGTTTTCTTGGAGTCTGTTGACTATGTCCCTCCACTCTCTCCTTGCCCGTAGTGTTTCTTCAGAGAAGTCCGATGTCAGCCTGATTGGTTTTCCTTTGAATGTTATCTGTTTCTTCCCTCTTGTCAGCTTCATTATTTTTTCCTTGTCCTGGATTCTTGGGAGCTTTACTATTATGTGTCTTGCTGTATTTTTCCTTTCGTCGTAGAAGTTTGGTGTTCTTCTTGCTTCTTGTATATCAATTTTCAGCTCCTTCTTCACATTTGGGAAGTTCTCTTCAATTATCTCCTGTAATATTTTCTCTGTTCCTACATCTCTCTCCTCTCCTTCTGGAATTCCTATCACTCTTATATTTCCTTTCCTCATGGAGTCAGATAGTTCCCGAATTCTTTCTTCATTCTTTTTCCTTCGTACTTCTCTTTCCTTTTCTGTTTTGGTTCTTTTTATTTCTGTGTCTTCCAGAGTACTTATTCATTCTTCCATTTCATCTATTCTGCTTTCATTGCTTTTCCCAGAGTTCTTTAGTGCCTCCATTAATTCTTTGATCTCCTGCATTTCTTTTGCTTCCGTCTTTAGGGATTCAATTTCATTCTTCTGATTGTTGATTATTTTTCTCATATCATTGTTTTCCTTTATGACTTCTGTCACTTTTTTAATCATGGCAATTTTAAATTCTCTTTCTGGAAGGCTCAGAAGTTCTTACAAGTTACTGTCGTTGTAATCTGGGGGGTGGTTTTCTTTTTGTGGTGTGCTTTTTTCCTGAGGAGTTGTTAGATTGCATGTGGTTCTTCTCCTCCCTACTGTCTGCTTTCTAATTTGCCATATGCGTTGGGACACTGTGTTGCTGGGACAGGCCAGCATCTTGGGTGAACTTCTCCGCTCCCGTCTGGCTCCTCCAGGAACCATCTCTGGCTTCTGAAGGAGCTTTATGCTGGTTTCAGGCAGTCTTTACTGAAGAAATGCCCCTGTTCTAAAACGGCGGTGCAGGATGCAGTGCCTGTACATCTGGTCTCAGGCACACTCTTCTGCGCACCTGGTCTGCCCCGGTGTGGGTGCCTGCTCCCCCTGTGGGTTCAGACTGCTGGTTGGAAGGGTCCAGGCATGGGCTAACTTCCCAGCTTGCCACTGGCTTCTCCGGGAACCTTCTGCCCTTTTCAAGCAGTCTTTTCTTAAGAAATTTCCCGGTTCTATGGAATGTTAGTGACTTTTTTTCTGGTCGCTAGGTGGCGCCAGAGATCTCTCCTATTGTCTTGGGGGGTTGTTTTTCGCCCCCCCCCGTGGGACAGGGAACAGAGCAGGAATGGTAGGGTCCCCAACACCCGCCTTGAAACCCCCAGGTCAGTGACCATGAGGCTGTTATTGACGAGAGGGACACAAGGAAGGACAGAGTGGGAGCCCACTCAGGATTGAGGAAAAATTTAAAGCGTTTCAGTGAAGGACTACAAAAAAAAAAGGCGCTCACCAGGGCCTGTGTCGATCCCCACAGGTTATGTGAACCCCAAAAAGCTGACTGTCACCAGCACCAAGGGCTGCTCAAGAGGCCTGAGCCCCTCTGGGGATTTCTCATCAGAGCCGGCAGGGCTGAGAGGATGAGGCAGGTGTGGGGTTCAGGGCATGGATCCAGGCCTGCTTGGGGCTTCCCTGAGGGGCTGGGCCTGTCCTGTGGGTGCGTCTCTCTGACGGTCAGTCCTGGCAGGTGGTCAGGGAGGGCTGGGAGCACTGATGGCAGCTGTGAGATGCTCGTGGCCACCCGCCCTCGTCCACCCCAGGCCACGGCGCGTCGCAGCTGTACTCACGCCCGTGAGAGCGGGTCAGAGGCTGCATCCTGGGCAGGGCTCCCTGGGGCTCTGTAACTGTGGAGATTTTTGAGCAGGTCCCATTTAGTTGTGTCCGTTACTCTGAGTCCTTCAAGCAAAAGCCTGGACCGAACCACCAAACACGCTGGTGTTTACACCTGACCCTGCTCCTCTCACAAGCCCGCCTGGCTAGGTGTCACCCTGGCAGCTGCCACGGTCCCCCCACAACTGCTGCATGTAAACCGGCTGTCAGGGGCACATCCGGGTCACAGCTCAGGGACCTGCCTGACACCACACCTGGAGAGGCCGCTCTGCCCCTCGGTTCTGTGTGTTCCTGCTCCTCCCTATCTGCTCCTCGTGGTGCCCGTGACCTTACTCACCCCTAGATCTCTACTACCCTGGGACCCCGCCCCCACAGTGTCTGGGCAACCTCCATGGCCACCCTCGCTTCTCCCTCAGCCAGGGAGGCTGCTCTCAGCTCCTGGGTATTTGGGGACATCCGAGAGCATCTGACACAGGGCGCAAGAGACAGGGTGAGATAGGACATGTCCTGGGGAACTGAGGAGAGGCCGTGGGGGCCCCACATGGACATTTCTCCGCCTAGTCCGAGACACCTGTGTCCTCTCAAGCAGTGGGAGCCACCAGTGGACATGGGTCCCGTCATACCTGGGGCAGTGGCATGAACTTGCTGAAGGAAGCTGACCTGTTTCACAGCTCCAAGGCTTAGAAGTCTGCCAGCTCCGTGCAGGCTCATTCTCTGTTACACCTGGAACCTGGAAGGATCACCGTGATGATGGACAAATATAGAGCAGGACCCACAAGGACAGAGTCATGGAGATGAAGAGCAGGATTCAAGGGAGGGGAGATCAAAAATTCGGCATTTGAGAACAACCATGGAGAATTTCACATAAAAATTAATTTCAACTGGGCCTCCCTGGCGGCACAAGCGGTTGAGCACAGCGCTATGAAGCTGTCCGCAGCCTCTGCAGTGCCGGTTTTGATCCCCGGCTGCGGAGCAACCCACATGGCGCAGCAGACCTCTCCTGTCTCCCTGCTGCTCCCCTCAGCAGTGTATTTCAGTCAGTCTGCCTGTTCTGCTCCCCACTCTGTCTCTGGTGAATCCTCTCACCATCCTGCACCTCTGGCCTGTCCCCCATTTCTTGTATAAATGAATAAATTTTTTAAAAAATTTAATTTCTACACCAAACATTTCATCCAAGGGTTAGATGGCCACGTACAAATAGAAGACAAATGAAAAATCTCCAAAAATTACAATGAAAATTAATAGTGATAAAAAATGATAAAGAAGAGATACAAAAAATCAAATCCAATGTAGGGGAGAAGGACCAGGGCACGGAAAAAGAGGGGCACCCCTGAGGGAATGGGACAGCAGCAGGAAAGTCACTAGAGGCCGTCAGAAAAGCCAGTTTCTTGCATCAGGGAAATAGGCAAAGAGGAAGAAGAACCTTCCAGAATAAAAGGCAGAGGGTAAAAGCCACCCCTCATTTCCAATAATCTCCTCGTGGTGGCCTCTGCTCAGAGTTCGTAGGGGTCTGGGATGAAGGGGCGGCTTGTCAGGCTCAGCAGGGACAAGACCCAAAGCAGGAAGGGGGTGTCCTGCTCTCGGGGAGGGCTGTGAAGGAGGTTGAGGATGGGGTCGTCCTCCTGGAAGGTGGGGAGGCCAGAGTGCTGCTTTTTCCCCAAGGCAAGTCCATCGAGTCTCTAGATCACCAGACTCCCCACCCAACTCTATTGTCTCCTTCTGACAGAGACCCCTGAACTCCTGCTGGCAACCGCCCCCCGCCCCAGCTCTGCTCTTCTTCTGTGCATCTGCACAAAGGTCTTGTCTCACACAGCCCGAAGTTCAGTGCCCCAAACACCCCCTCTTCTCCTCATATGTGAGGAGGAGAAGCAGGTGCAGGTATAACAGGAAGGGATGAGAGAGAAACTCAGAGGAATTCTCCCAGGTCCGGACTCAGAAGCAGGTTCAGGGGTCACTTCTGTCCTGGCCTCCAGCGCCAGAAAGGAGCGGTGCTCGTCGTCAGGAGCAGCCGCGGACAGCCAGACAGCCGGGAGGGCCTCAGCTGTTACCCGAGACTCGGCGTCTGAGCGAATGTGCGGCAGGGGTGGCTGGGGAGAGCCATGGAGAGCAGCGCTGCCTCTCCCTCTCCCGGCCAAGCTTTATTAAAGATATGAGCAAAGGAACAAAACATAGCACGCCACTGTGTGTTGCTGATCCAGAGGAACAGGTTCCTGCTGAAAACAAGCTCCTGTAGCCAGTAGGGCGCGTGCACACAGCCAGCGTGTCCTCAGAGGACAGGAGTGAGGCCTGGGAGAAGTTCTGTTCGCAGAACCTCAAAGGTCTTGGAAGTCCGTGTGCAGAGTGGGCAGGTGCTCTCGGAGAACTCAGCTCCCTCTGGGGCGGCAGACGCCCGGCAAGGAGGCCGGAGACAGGAATTAGGAGCCCGATGAACAAGCCAGAGCGGGGCTTCTGTCCTCCTGGAGCCCGGGGGGTGACAGTGGACCCCCAGCCTGGACGAGCTCTCAGTCCCCTCCCCTGGGATGGTCGGAGGCTGACTGCGGGGCCATGACTGACTGACTATTGGTCGCTGGTGACTGGTCCCTCCCCCCACCCAGAAGTCAGGGGCCAAACTGGAAGGTCAGCCTGACTCTTGGTTGGTTTCCCTGACGCAGCAACACCCTTAGGTGCTCCCCAAGAGACCCTCATGGACGTACAGAGACGTCTTAGCTGTCAATGAGGTGAGTGTCCGGATCCCGAGGGCAGCTGCAGGATGGGGCCTGAGACCACACACAGACGCCCATTCTAATCGCACCAGCCTAATGCCGACATGATAGGGTTGGCATCTTCCTAAAGAAGCCCCCTCACCCCTCCTGCCATGTGAGGTATGGCAGGTAGGCAGCACCTATGCCGCATAGGGGTGAGCAGACCATGCCCTGTGCACCCTGATCCTGGACTGGCGCCCCGGATCTGCGACGGCAGCGTCTGTGTGTCATGAGCCCCAGTCTCTGTCCTTGTGACAGCAGAGTGGATGTGAGCGTGAAGTTGCAGCTCCTCTGGTCGCAGCGGCTCCGGTGCCCCGAGTCTGCTCTGTCAGAGGCTCAGCTGTCCGGGAACCTCACACTGGACACCAGCCCTGGGCGTGGGCGAGGAGGATGAATCGAGAACACAGGACTGCAGCGGAAGCCCGAGGTCCTGGTGACACCGCCACGGCATCAGGAACCCCAAATTCAGGGGTATCAGAGCTAGAGGGCGTGCGTCGATGGCGGCCCGAGGCCCAACACACACAAAAGCCGGGAGACGTTCAGGAGACGCCAACAGATGCGCAGACAGTGTCGGGGGATTTATTGGCCAGAGGTCGTGTCCACCCGCCAGCGGGGACTGTCCCGGGGGGTGCGGAGGCATCAGTGTCCCTGGTTCTCGTAGTCAGGCTGACTCTGTCTCCTCCCAGGGCGCCTCTGAGGCCGGTGCGCTCAGAGGACGGCACTGAGCATGCTCAGGAGCAGGGGCACCTTCAGGAAGACCAGGAGCAGGAAGTAGACGCTGCCCAGCAGGGAGCTGTGGGGGGACAGGACACAGGAGATGAGCAGCCTTCAGGGCCCCAACCCCAGCCCTCCCTGGGCCCATCGGGGGCTCCATTGGCTCTGAGCCCCCCAGAACTCAGCCAGGACAGCTCCCCCAGGCCACGGTCATGGTGCTCCAGGGTGAGCCTCCAGCTCCTCCTGCCCCAAACTTGGCCCCATCCCCTTCCTGCTGCCCCCAGCCCCCTTCCCTTCTGCCTGGTTCTCATGCAGCCTGGACACAGGCCGGGCTTTCTGGTCAGTGTCGCCCTGGCTGCTCCTGCGGTCCCCCCGCCGCTGCTGCATGTAAAGTGTCTGTCAGGGGCACATCTGGTCACAGCTCAGAGGACCTGCCCGAAGCCACACCTGGAGAGGCTGCTCTGATGTGGCCTTGGACGTGGGGGCGCTGCCCCTCGGTTCTGTGTGTTCCTGCTCCTCCCTGGCTGTTCCTGTGGTTCCTGTGACCTTACTCACCCCTGGATCCCTACTACTCTGGGAGCCACATCCCCACAGTGTCTGGACCCCCTCCTGGGCCACCCTTACTTCTCCCTCAGCCAAGGAGGCCACATTCAGCTCCCGGGTGTTTGAGGATGCCCGAGAGCATCTGACCCGAGTGCATGTGAGGCAGGATGACACAGGACGTGTCCCGGGAACTGAGGAGAGGCCGTGGGGGCCCCACATGCACATGTCCCCACCAGGCCTGAGACACCTGTGTCCTCTCCAAGCACCACACCCTTGGGCTTCACGACACGCCCTCCCCAGAGTCCTGCCCTATGCCCCCGCTGCACCCCCATGATTTATAGAAGAGCTTCGCGGGCCCTGAGGAGGAGAACTGTGAAGGGGAGGGGTTCAGAGCAGGCCCCCGCTGGGCTCTGCAGACATGTTTGCAAACCTGAAGGTTGAGTGAGTAAGGCCCAGAGTTGTGTGGGAACAGGCGTGGAGAAGCCTCCCTGGCCCCCTGACCAGCGCTGGCAGAATAGTGTCCCCCCAGTCCAGGCCACTCAGACCCGGGGTGACCTCCTGGACAGGAGACCCTTGCAAGTGCCATCAAGGTGAGGAGGTTGCTCTGGGCGGGAGCCCTGTCCAGTGACTGGTTCCTTGTAAGAGGGAAAGAGGCCAAGAGACCCGCAGGGAGAGGCCCCGGGAGCAGGATGGAGGGGCCACATGCCAGGGGACACTAGAGTTGCCCCAATTCCAGAAGCAGGAGAGGGGCCAGGACGCACCTGCCTCTGACCCCCAAGAGGAGCCACCCCGTCCTCACCTGGTTCAAGTCTGGCCTCCTGAGCTGGGAGAGAAGGGGAGCCCCTCAGCCTCCCCCTCAAAGGACCCAGAAAGTCGGGAGTCAAGTGCTGACCGGGACATGGCCCTACAAAGGACTCCCAAGGGAGCTTCAGCCCACCAGGCACAGGACTCAGCAGCAACAGAGCTTTCTTACCTGCTATTGGTTACAGTTGGGGGGTCTTTGTCCTCTTCTGGGGAGACCGGTGCTTTGTGGTGTGTCATGGTGGTGGTGGTCATGGTGGTGTTGGTGGGCACTGCAGCGGCTGCTTGGACACAAATCAGATACACACACTCTGCCTGACCACCTGATCCCAGTCCTGTGATTCCTCTGAACCTTGGGGTCCCAACAATGCCCTGGTTGAGGAGCCTGGACCAGAGATGAGGGGAGGGGTCTGGATGTGTCTCCAGGCTTCAAGCCGACTCAGGAGCCTGGGGCAGGTGGGCTATGGAGCAGGAGGGCGTCCGGCAGGCCCCGGGAGCAGAGGGGCACTCAGGAACAGGTAGCTGAAGTCCCTGAACCATAAACAGCCCTGCTGCTCCTGAGTCCCCCTCAGACCCCCTGTTCCTCCTCCAGCGAGGACAGAGCAAAGCAGGGCTGCCCAGTGCCTGACAGATCAGCATGTGACTCAGGTCAGGACCAGCCCGAACCCAAGAGTCCCAAGGAGACCTGCACTTTGGGCAAGTGTTGACCTTCTCTGACAGGCGGCCCTTCCCAGGATGAGCTCAGGATTCCATAGGACGTGAACGGCTGCGCCTGCAGCGTGACCTGCCTCCAGGTCCCCGGGTGGTGGGGTGGTAGAGGCTCTGCTGACCCTTGTGCTCACCCCATTTCCACCAGTGCCTGGGGGCGGTCAGCAGGAAGGGAGGCCCAAATTCACTGCTTGAAGCTCAGGAGATGGGGCCTTGAAGCAGCCCCTCCCTCAGGGTCTGAATTCTAGAAAGACTCTGAAAGGACACCCTATAGCAGGGGCATTAATGGCTCGTGGTGGGATTCCAGGCCCCAGAGGTACAGCCCATCAGTTATGAAGACTTTTAAAGGCTCAGGAATGAGCCATGGTCTGTGCCAGGCTGTCCCCTGCCTGGACATGGAGCTTGGGAGGGAACAGTCACGATGAGGTCTCAGCCCCAAACTCCAGAAGGAACAGAGAGGTCCCCAGAATCACTGGCAGGAGTTGGGGTCTCTATCCCCATGGAAGGGGGTCCCTTTACCCATGTGCTGACCAGGGTATCACCTGACTTCTGTGACCATGGACAGAGGGGCTGAGCTGGGGAGAGGGGGACAGTGAGCCACAAGGATCCTCCTGTCCAGGAGGTGCCTGGAGCCTTGAGCATCCAGGAGAAGCCCCCCTCCCAGCACCCCCGGGTGAGGCTCCCCCCTCTGGGACCTGAGGGACCAGGACAGAGCAGGTACCGCAGAGACACAGCCACACGCACAGGCGCTCACCTGGGTCAACGGTCACTTTAACTTGGGCCCCAAGGTCAGGATGTGCTTCTATATCAACCCCACACCAGTAAGTGTCCGCATCGCCCAGCGTGAGCGCCTCCATGGTCACGGTGAATGTGCGGTATCTCTGATTGTCCCTGATGGACACGCGGTCCTTCTTCACCTCCTGCTCCGAGCCGGTGGTTCTAACAAGGGTGTTGCAGCTCATCCAGTCAGCCCCTCGACACCACCACTTCCTGTGGGTCTTGTAGTCTGGGCCATAGTCACACCGCACGGTCAGCGAGCCCCGCTCCCAGCCCTTCACTGCGCCTGGACCCGTGACGGCAGAGGAGCCTGGAAAACACACGTCCATGCCCCTGTGACCCCACCTGCACACAGGCCCAGCCTCCTGCCCTGCACCTACCCCCTCAGCCCAAGGGCGGGGAGGGGGATACAGCCATGGAGGGAATGACCCCCAGGAGTCCTTCTACACTACACTGGGCAAAGCCCCTGGAACAGCACCTGAGACACAGCTCAGAGGGAGAGACACAGAGATGCTGGCCCTGAGCAGTAACAGCCCCCAGATTCACACACACACCCATCGTCAATGAATCTCTGTCCCCAGCAAGGCCCCTTGCTGGGGGGCCTTGGTTATTCTGCCTGATGGGGATCAAATCCCAGAGGACCCGCCTCTCCAAAAGAGGCCTGTGCCCACCCCGCACCGGTACCCGGGAGGTGCAGCTGAGGCTCCCGCACCCCTGGAGTAGGGTTTGCCCCCATGACTCTGAGCTCCTAGGGGTTCCCTCGGAATCCACTGCGGGGACAGCTGTGGCGCTGACCGGGCACTGCTGCCCAGTGGCCACACGTGCTGTGGGTCCATGTCACACGGGGGCCACGTCCCCCACTGAAAGTTGCCAATTCCCATCGCAAGTTCCTAGCCAGGCGGGCTTGTGAGAGGAGCAGGGTCAGATGTGACACAGCTGCCCCTTCGTGCCTCCCCGTGTTGGCAGATGTTGTTAACCCCGGGGGGGAATGACTCAAGCAGGAGCTGAGAGACCCTGACGTGCCTCCTTGTGCTCTCCCGACCCGGCAGATCGAGGACCCCAGGTGCTTGGCGGTTCAGTCCAGGCTTTTGCTTGAAGGACTCAGAGTAACAGACACAACTAAACGGGACCTGCTCAAAAACCTCCACAGTTACGGAGCCCCAGGGAGCCCTGCCCAGGGGTGCAGCCTCTGACCCGCGCTCACGGGCGTGAGTACAGCTGCGACGCGCCGTGGCCTGGGGTGGACGAGGGCGGGTGGCCACGAGCATCTCATAGCTGCCGTCAGTGCTCCCAGCCCTCCCTGACTCGTTGGTCTCATAGCTTGGCTATACCGACACCGCACTGTCAGTGAGCCCCGCCAGGGGCTCTGATGGCCAGGACTGACTATCACAGAGACGCACCCACAGGACTGGCCCAGCTCCTCAGGGCAGCCTCAGAGCAAGCCTGGACCCGAACCTTCGAACCCTCGCAGACCGTCCTGCTTCTCAGTCCTGCCGGGTCTTCTGACAAATCCCCAGAGGTACTCAGGCCGCTTGAGCAGCCCTTGGTGCTGGTGACAGTCAGCTTTGTGGGGTCACATAGCCCCGTGAGGATGGACACAGGCTGTGGTGAGCGCCTTTTTTTTGTAGCCCTTCACTGAAACTCTTAAAATTTTTCCTCAACCCCTGAGTGGGCTCCCACTTTGTCCTTCCTTGTGACCCTCCTCGTCAATAACAGCCTCATGGTCACTGACCCGGGGGCTTCACGGCGGGTGTCGGGGACCAGGTGTCTCCTCTCCCAGGAGGGACCCCGGACAACAGGCTCCCCTGTCTGCTCCATGCCCAGCCCTCATCCAAGGGCACCGCGGCCAGCAGACTCATGTCAGGACCAGCTCTCGGGCCTCATCCAGGTCACCTCCTCATCTTCTCAGGGGAGCAGCGAGCGCCTCTGGCCCCATGGTCACCCTCCTGGCCCAGGCCACAGAGCAGGCCCCACGCCCTCAGGTTTTAAAGCCTTAGTGAAGACACAGAACTTCCTTTCCTGGAAGGTCAGGGATCACACACTTCACATGCCAGGTCATTGTGGAAACTGGTGCGTGCTCACTACATTGCTCATCATTCATGCACTTTTCTGCAGATGCATTATTTTCCACTATTAAAATAACTTGTTAGTATATAATAATTCCAAAGCCATGTTGTGGTGAGCAAGGACATATTACAGGTGTATTAAATACTGAGGAAAAGCCACAGCAGAAATAATTAAGATTTTTAACACACACAAAGACATTTCAGAGAGACAGAAAAGTTTAATAAAACAAAACATACATATGATCCTGAATTAAGATTATATTTATGTTAGGCCTCCCTGGTAGCCAAGGGGTTAAGTCTCAGTGCCATCACAGCCACTGCAGCACGAGTTTAATCCTCAGCCAGGGAGTGACCCACAGGGCCCAACAGACCTCTCCTGTCTCCCCACTGCTCCCCACAGCAGTGAATTTCAGTCTGTGTGCCTGTTCTGCTCCCCACTCTGTCTCTGATGAGTCCTCTCACCCCCTGTGTTCTGGTCTACACCTCAGTTCTTGTAAGCATAAATAAATAAAAAAATCTTTTTATAAAGACTATATTTAAAGATATTCAGATCCATAACTAAAGCCACACAGTTGTTGAATAATGCAGCCTCTTGAATAGTGCACACATGTAGCCCCTTTAGCTATGCTAACTTAAAAAGGGACATAATAAAGAGGCTTATCAGTGAATTTTTGACATACATTTCTGCTTTTCAGAGTCTTTTCTCCCACATAAGTGATGATCAAATCTGTGGATAATAAATAAATGACTGTTTTGTTCCCCATTGTCACCTCCTTCTAGAAGAGACTCTGCTGCCTGCCCCAGAATTGGGCTTACGGGTCCTCAGGGGGTCCAGGGAGGATGAGAAGTAGCTGAGGCTTGTGGCCATGGACCCACCCGCCTCCATCTGTCTGAGCATCCAGCAGCTCCCCCAGGGCCATGACACCGTCCAGAAATAGACACTTCTGATGTTTCACTCCACCAGTCACAACCCCTCCCTCCCGGCTCCCAAACCCTGACCCCATGATCCTGCCTTGCTGCCCTCACCCCATGGACCAGCTCTGGGCTTTGGTGCCTCCAGAGCAGAAACTCAGAAACTCACACGCCACATGTGCCCTGAGCCTCCCCAGAGCCCAGGCTGCCGCCCGCCCCTGCCAGTGCCCCCCTGGGCTCCAGCTCCTGGTGGCTGAGGTGTGGGAGCCCCTTCAGTCCTCAGAGCCTGGGCCTCCTTGACAGGCCTGCCCTGCGCTGAGACCTGCTCCTGAGGAGAGAGCAGGCCTGGGCCCTGGGGACTCCTGACCCTGGGCCCCCAGCCAGGAGCAGGCTCTGCCCTCAGGGAGCCTCTGCTGGCTAGTGCTCAGTCCCAGCACAGCAGGGCCTTGAGAGACACAGGGTCCTCCCCAGGGAGGGAGAGTCTGCAGGGAGGATGGCCCTGCCCTGTCCCCTGGCGCGTCCCCGCCCCACAGACCCTGTGTCCTTCCCCAGCCCCACAGCCTCCATCCCAGGCCAGCCCCCATCACCTGCCACGAAGAGGAACAGGGCCGGGAGCAGACACGCCAGCTGCTCTCCCATCCCTGCTGACAGGCGCCGTCCCTTCAAGCCCTTGAGGCCAGCACAGGAGGGACCCTGAGTCTGCTTCAGAGTCCAGGGACCTGGAGACTCTCCTTTCAGTTTCACCCTCATCACTGTCTCCACATCCGCAGTGACTTCCCTCTTGACATATTAGGGCAGAGGGAGGTTCTCTGGGGCACTGACCTCAGGGGTGAGCATCAAGACCTTCCTGAAGATGGGAAAGGAAAGGAGCCCAGAGGCAGCTTTGCCCAGGAGGGGGACAGGGTCTCTGCCAGGTGGGACCCCACAGCTGGGTGAGGGGCGTGGAGAGAGGGGAGCTGGGCAAAGGGAGACGGGAGACCCACTGGACCTCACCTTGGGGGGATGCACCTTTCAGGGCCCTCCCACTTCTTAGCAAGCCCATCCCAAACCTCCTTGAGGCTCCCCTGAGCAGGAGACCCCCTTCCTACCCGGGGCATGTCCCCCTGAGCCTGACCCACTGCCCCTCCCTCCCAGGGCGTGGAGTTTCTGAGCAGAGGCCACCGTGACAGTCATCAGGAAAGGAGAAGTGGCTTTTACACTCTGCCTGTCTGACTGGAAGCTTCCTCTTCCTCCTCTTTGCAGGTCTCCCCTTCCTCTGGGCTGCTGGTCATTGAATTTCAGGAGGCTGTTTGCTCTTGACCTGCGGGGACTTTCCCAACCTCCCCCGTGTTCCCTGCTGTGCCCCTCCCCACCATCCCATGGAATCCTGTCCTCGTCCTGGGAAGGGCTGAACATCACAGAAGGTCACCACTTGCCCACTGTGAACACCGTGGGCTTGGGCTGGTTGACCTGAGTCACTCACTGGTCTGTCAGCCGCTGGGCAGCCCTGCTCTGCTCTGCCCTACCTGGAGGGTGAGGTGGCTGGGGGTGGGGTGCGGGCAGGACTGGCAGGAGCAGCAGGGCTGTTTAAGGTTCAGGGACTCTAGCGGCCTGGCCCTGAGCACCTGCCCCTCTGCTCCCAGGGCCCGCAGGACGCCCTCCTGCTCCACAGCCCCACCTGCCCCCAGGTGAGTGAGTCTGCTTGAGGCCTAGAGACAAGAGAGATTCAACCCTAGTTCCTCCCCAAGGCCCTGGCCCAGGCTCCTCAGGGCAGCCCTGGGATACCCAGGCTCAGAGGAGCGTGCAGGCTGGGCCAGGCAGAGAGTGTGTGTATCTGATCTGTGAGCCAAGCAGCCACTACAGGGTCCACCACCACTGCCACCTCCACCCACTGCACAGCACCAGTCACCCCAGAAGAGGGCGAAGCCCCCCTGACTGTAACGGATAGCAGGTAAACCAGCTCAGATATCGTTGTATCCTATGCCCCCTTCTCCTGGGGCCCCTTGTAGCCCCACATCCCGGCCAGCACTTGTCTCTGGACCCTCTGAGAGGAGAGGCTGACAGGCTTCCCCTTCTCTCCCCACTCAGGGGCCAGAACCTGAGTCCAGGTGGGGCGGGGCAGCTCCCTTTGAAAGACCCCCTCCTGCTTCCAGTGTTGCTGGCACCCCCAGCTGAAGGGGCCGGAGGAGCTGGGGTCTCAGCCTGGAGCAGCATGACTGTGTCGGGGGCCTATCCTGGCTGAGGTCCGGGATTCACAGCCATGGAGCCCTGGGCCGGCCCAGGGAGGCCTGCGGGGAAGGGGCCCTGGAGGTTGCTCATTCCCTGTGTCCTGTCCCCCCACAGCTCCCTGCTCTGCAGCGTTCACTTCCTGCACCTCATCTTCCTGCAGGCGCCCCTGCTCCTGGGCATGCTCAGTGCCGTCCTCGGGGTGAGTCGGCCTCAGAGGGGCCATCGTGACACAGAGCCGGGGACCCACGTCCATCAACATCTGTTTCTAGAGAAAAACTCAAACAAAAGAGAAGAAACTTGTCAGGAAGTGGTGTGGTTGCAGTGGTTTCTGAGGCAGTGAGGTTCCCCCTTCCGGAACATTCTCGGAGACCTCAGACCCTACAGCTGTGATTACCAGACCTCAGGACCTTCCTCTGGTCGCCCTCACTCCCCATCTGCGTCCTACTTCCCGAGGGCTCTGGGGTGACAGAAAATGGCGGCAGGAACACTCGAGAACATGCCTCTCCCCTAAGCCCCGTCCCAGGACACACATGATCTCAGCTGGGAGCTGCCTGTGGGGTTAACAGACTTTCCTCTGGGTTCCATGGGGCTCGGGGCTCCGGCCAAAAATAGGTTTCAAGATTCTAGACGCTGTGACAACAGGGAAACAGGCCCGTTCTGGAAGCCCACCTGGGCGTCGCCCTGAGCCCATGGAGCAGGATCTGGCTCCCGGGGAGGAGACCTCAGCAGCCTGCCCCTGCCTCCTGCCGCCCTGACCTGGGGGGTTGGCATCGCCTCCTCTCCGTGCCCCCTCGCCCTTCCTGCCACTGTCTCCAGGTCCCTGCCTCATCTGAGGGTCCAGCTGGCAGGTCCTTCCACTTGGGGCACAGGGAGAAACCGGGGGCTGGGGGCTGTGGAGACTCCCCCAGTCAGACCCCAGAACAGAACAGATGCAGCAGCCTGGAGCCCTGTAGCCTGGAGGGAGGATGTGGGTGTTACTAAGGCTCTTGAACGACCCTGGACCCTGCGCCCGCCAGCGGGGACATGAGATTTTCCTGCGGGCTCCTGGGGCAGAGGAGCGGGGCACCGGGTAGAGAGGAGGCTGGGCGCTTCCCCCCTGGGCCTCCCAGGTCACCGCTGGACAGAGATGTGGGCCATGAGGGGGGAGGGGTAGGGTTGCTGCAGGAGACATTGTTGCCCCAGCCAGATAGGATACTGACAAGCAGCTAAGAGAAAAGGCCTCACACTGTGGGGCTAAAGATCTGGCATCCCTTTGCTTTTTGTTCTTGGTCATGAGAGAGAAAAATTTATCAGAAAGTATATTAGGCAATAAATTATATGTATCAGCATAGTGTAAGTAAATAGCACAGAAAATTGTTTGTTTAGAAATTAGTTGTTGGGCAATTTGGCCCACTTGACAGTGGGAGATGGTTTGTTGAACATGCCTGACAAGCATTACAACACAATAATTATAGTGGGTCCTTCTTTTGCCTTCTCTTGAAGTTTCTTGGGAAAGTTTTTAAATAAAGCTATTTGAGTTAAGGAGTTTCTAGGTGGAAAAAGTTCTGATAGCTGAGTAGCAGCCGGCCCCTGGTGTGAAGGCCATGAGAATAAGAAAAGTCTTTTCTTGCTTAGGCTTTAGCTGATAGGGATGTACTGGCAGCTATCAACTGTCTTAGGTTATTGTTTAGCTGAAACAATGAGTTTTAGTGTAAGCTTAGTTTTTTATTACCCTTGAAAGTGGCCTTCTTACTGAGAGCACGTAGTGGCCAAAAGCCCATGGAAAAAGAGATGCACTGATTGTTTCTGCTTTGTTTCTGTGTACATGATAATGTCATCTCACTGCTTGCAAAAAATGTATAAATAAAAAACCTGCTGAAGATACTATCCTCTCAGCAGAAGATACTAGCACCTCACCAAGTGTCAGTGTCTCCTCTTTCTACCTCATCCCCTTCCCCTCAGCCCTTTCCTTTTCGCCGACGCCATCTCATCCTTTCAGGAACCCCTGACACGACATTTTGCCGGAGGCTGGTCCCCGGCAGGGGGGCTTGGCCAGGCCCCAAGGGACGGTGAGGACATGGGGCGCAGACCCGTCAGGGCCTGATGGCCCCACTGCTCACTGGACTCTGCCCTCCCAGGCCCCCACTTAGCCTGGCTGAGTCCCCACTTGATGTCTGATCGTTAACACACTTAAACCCTCGGGGCTCCAGTCCTAAACCACCAGGGCTTTGCCTCTTACTCTCGGCCCCTCCCCTCCCGCGCTGACTTCTGTTAATGACAGTATTTTGGGGGTTCGGACATTCATGTGGTCTTCTGTAAGTATTTCCTGTGGTTGGTCAAGGTTTTTTTTTTTTTTTCTATTTTGAAATCCCCCCATCGCTCACCAAAGCTTCTCTCTTCTTGTCCTTGTTATGTACTTATTCTTTTGGGGCAACATTTCATCATGGTGTAGATTTTCTACTTTTAAAGAGCTCAGCGGGCTTGTTTCACAAGTTCCCGCAGCAGCAGTGTCTGTGGTTAGAACCTTGAACAGCAGCTGCCCTGCCCCGAAATGTCCAGACTTGGCCTCTTGGCACCTAATGGCAGGGACTAGGCCCGCAGGAAGAAACGACAGAAAATTGAGGCCACTGCCTCTTTGCCCTTTAAAAATAAGATACAGAAACAAACTAAATGCCCCAAAACAGACGAGTGGCTCAAGAAGATGTAGTCTGTGGACACGATGGAATATTACTCAGCCATCAAAAGGATAAACTTACACAATTTTCAGCAACATGGATGAAGCTGCAAGGGATTATGCTCAGTGAAACATCGGAAGGAAAAAGATAAATATGAGATGGTCTCACATGTAGGGGGATGTAGGGAACTGAACACAGGGTCAGGAAAAGACAAAATGTGCAGAGACTGCAGATCTGAGGCATCCGGCAGGGGCGGGGCCGGACGAGGGAGGGAGAGCGCAGGGGCCTGTGGTGACGGGTCCCGGGTGCTGCAGTGGTGGGGAATAAGAGGAACTGCTCCTGGGGCGAGAAATCAAATATTGTGCAAAAATGAACTGGTCAGAACCAGTTCAGGATCCTCTCTGGGAGCTTGCCCTGCTGAACACACTCCCTAAGTGTCCTCGCCTGGCTTCCAGTCACACGATGAGGGGCTGTGTCGCTGTCACTCTCTGGATGTGTTCTTTTGTTTGTTTGTTTTTAAATATTTTCTTATATCGTTTGTGATTTTTTAAAAAGATTTATTTATTTATGCATACAAGAGCTGGGGTACAGGCCAGAGGCACAGGAGGGTGAGAACATTCACCAGAGACAGAGTGGGGAACAGAACAGGCAGAATGACTGGATTACACTGCTGAGGGGAGCAGCGGGCGAGTCAGGAGAGGTCTGCTGTGCCATTTGGGTAGCCCCCTGGCTGGAATCAAACGCTAACTGCAGTGGCTGTGGATAGCTCCATAGGTGTGTCTTAACCCCTTGCGCCACCAGGGAGGCCCTGGACGTGTTTTGTTAGAGAGAAACTATCATAACAGAAGACAAATGAGAGAGGGGGAAGAAAGTGGGCCAGTATAAAAAGAGTGGGGCCTCCCAAGAGATTCTGTGGGGGGCCCAGCAATAGGAGTCCCAGGGGTGTAGAATGTAGGCAAGAGGACCAAGATGAGTGAAGGAAGGACGAGAAGGAGTCTCTGAGGCTCGGGAGCCCTTGGCCAGAGCCGCTGGCGGGACTGGTGGGTGGGTGGCCGGGGTGGCAGCCGGCACTGTGGTTGGTGCTTGGCACACACATCAGATCACAGCTACTCTGCCTGCCAGCCCCCCCTCAGTCCTGCACGTGGCTGTGAGCCTGGGTCCCAGGGCTGCCCTGGCCTGAGGAGGGTTCTGGAGCTGGACCTCTCATGTCTCCAGGCCTCGAGGACACTCACCAGCCTGGGGGCAGGTGGGCAGAGGGAGCAGGAGGGCATCCTGCAGGCCCCGGGAGCAGAGGGGCAGGTGTCTGGGTCAGGCAGCTGGAGTCCCCCAAACTTAAACAGCTCTGCTGCTCATGAGCCCCCAGAAGCCCCGTCTCGTCCTCCAGCAAGGACGGAGCAGGCAGGACTGCCCGGCTGCCGACAGACCAGCCTGTGACTCAGGTCAGGACCAGCCCGAGCTCCCCGTGTCCAGGGAGACCCGCACTTTGGACTGAGGTCAGACTCCACGTGACAGTGAACGGGCCCAGCTTCCCCCACTCCAGGCCCGTCCTCAGGAGACCAGGGTTGGCTGAAGACGGGTTTATTCAGGAGTGCCCTGGAGAGAGGGTGGAGCGTGCCTGAGAGACACCGCCCCAGCGGAAGACACGGGGGCGGATATGGGGCATCCTGAGGACGAGGGAGGCTAACGGGGCTGCACCAGGAGGATGTCAGAGAAATGGGCCGGGCTTTGGGAGCTGCACTCAAGCTCCTGTCCCCTCCAAGGCCGCCTCCGCCGGGTCTGCCATGACGCCGTGGGTCACGAGGCTCTGGTTCAGCCCTTGCATTCCTGCTACCACCATCTTGGTGGCGGCTGTGCTTGTCTGGTTGTCTGTCGTTTCCACTTCAGGAGCAGAGGAAGAGTGAGGGGCTCCTGGTAGAGAAAGGAACCAGGGTCAGGGCCAGGAGGAGGAATGTGGTTGGCGGTGGACAGGCCCTCCCCAGGCTCCGTGCTGCTCCTCATCCCCGGGCAGAGGGCCAAGCCCACCCCTGGACGGCTTCCTGATGAACGGGGCAGAGATGCAGAGACCCAAAAGTGATACAGGGCAGAAGAGGCACTAAACTGGCCAAGGGCACTGCCCAAATAGTTTAACGGTCACTGTCTGAGTTCTTCACCCGCACACACACTAGCAAGACTCCTCAGGCTTAGGGAACAACAGCAAAGAAACTGATATAACGAACCAGAAAAAAGCAAGGAGTCACAGAGACCAAAGAGTCCTTTCTTTTACCCAAAGCCATGCCCAGTATTGTCCAGTCTTAAACAAATACAGTTAAAATGGCGTCTTACTACCACTGTGGACACACGGCAGCCAAACTGTAGGCCAGGTTCTGACTCACAAACACGACAAAGGCTACAACAGGAGCTGTTTCAGAGGCGGCTGGGATGCCCACCACAGCCCCAAACAAGCCACACTCAAATGGCAGCAGCCGAATAGTCCGACAGGCGGCCACGCTCACGCATCTCAGCAAACTCCTGGCTCCGGGACTCCCGTCTGCTCCTGGCCGCCCTCAGCAAGACGCCTGGCTCCCGGGTC